TGGGGATCTTTTCCTTCTTACACATTATTTGTATTTTTGTCTTCCTCCTATTATGATTTTGTCCTTACCACCTTAGTGCAATTGTTTTTTATTGTTTTGTTAGGTCTTCCAGCTGTGAAGCACAGCTGAGTGGCTGCATAATAACTGATACAAGGGTAGGGTGATAGGGAAAGAGGATTTTAGAAGTAAATAAGGCGGAGGGGGGAGAAGCACTAGAACGGATTGTGATTGTACAACTCATTTTAAAGGTGATTTAACCATGGGGAGGGGGGAATGCTATAAAATTGATGTGGTAATGATTGTACAATTCTCCTTGATATGACTTAACTATTGTATGATATGTAAATTATATGCCAATAAAACTTTAAAAAAAGAAAAAGAAACCAAACTAGACTAATGGTTACCATGTGTGAAGGAGGAAGCGTTTTTTTGCTTAGGGCCCTTTGTTTATGTTAATGGTGGTGGAATAATTTGGAAAAGGCTATTGATAATGGTTGTACAACCCAAAGTGTATTAATTAACAGCACTGAATTATACATGTAGGTGAACTGTAGAATTTTTTTGTGGAGCATATTGTTGCCACAATTAAAAAAATTACTTAATAATGCATACACACACAAAAACAACCCCAAACCAAAGTGGATTTCAGAAGATTCTGAAACTTGCTCTTAATCTAAGGTAACCAGACATCTCGCTTTTGTTGGGGCAGTCTTGATTTTTAACAATTTCACCCGTGTCCCACGGCGTTTTAAAAGTCTCGATTTTTGGAAAGAATGCACAAGCTAGGGTATACGGTTTTCGGCTGCTATGTGGCTATTTTGCCAGGATGTGCGTTTAATCAATGGTGTCCTGCTTTACCAATGTTAAAATCTGGTCACCTTATCTTAATCATAAGTCAAATGGAAGAAAAGATGAAGTCAAGGAGCTGAAGAGAAGATGTTAAGAGTCCGAGAAGAAAAGGAAAGTATTGCAATGAAATGTGCGGAGACCTGGGTAGTGTAACTAAGGTGCAACTTAGCTAAGCCATATCTTCAGTAGCCCCCATGTGTGAGTGTCGGACTCAAAATAAGGAAGACCCAGGGATAATTTGTGCATTTGAGCTGAATTGTGGTGCTGGAGAAGAATCCTGAAAAGACCATGGACTGCCAGAGGTCAAACATTTCTTTTGGAAGAAGTATGGCCAAATGCGCCACGGAGGCAAAAATGACTAGACTTTGGCTCACATACTTTGGACATAGATCAGGATATATATATATATATTCATCTATACCTACGTGTGTGTATATAGATATACACACACACACACCCCATATATACTTGTGTATAAGCCGAATTTTTCAGCATTTTAATGCAGTTTTTGTAAAATTAGGTGCCTCAGCTGATATTCAGGTTGGCTTATACTCGAGTATATTGATGTGTGTGTGTATATATACACACATATACCTGGAAAAGGTATCATGCGTGGTACAGTAGAGCAGCAGCAGAAAAGAGGAAGCCTTGGACAAGAGGGACTGATACAGGGATTGCAACTAGACTCAAGTGAGGATGTTTCAGGTCCGGGTGGTCTTGTACACTGGGCCACTATTTGTCAGAACTGATGTAACGGCACTTAACAGCAACAGCATGCTCTCAAAGCATCATCTTTATTTTTTAAATTAAAAAAATCATTTTACTGGGTGCTTACACCTTATTCCATACATCAATTGCATAAAGCATACTTGTACATATGTTGCCATCATTTTCTAAACATTTACTATTTGAGTCCTTGGTATCAGCTCCTCCTTTTTCCCTTCCTCCCCCCTCCTACTCTCGTGACTCTGGTAAATTATAAATTATTGTTTTCACATCTCACACGACCACTGTCTCCCTTCACCCTCGTTTTTGTTGGTTCATCCCCTGGGAGTGGGAATTATGCGTCAATCATTACCATCGGTTCCCCCTTCCTCTCCCCTACCCTCCTGGTATCACAACTTAACATTTCTGTTCCTGAGGGGTTTATCAGACCATGTGTCCTGAGCTCTTATCTGTCTGTACCGGGTACATGCGCCAGTCTAGCCAGAACTGAAAGGACAAGGACCATGACAGTAGGGGGTGAGGAAGCCTCAAAAAAGCAGAGGAATATTGTATTTCACTGGTACTATACTGTACTCTGCTTGATTCATCCCTTCCTTGTGACCCTTCTGTGAGGGGATGTCCTATTGTCTACAGATGGGTTTGGGGTCTCTCCTGCGACCCCCCTCATTCTCAACAATATTTTTGTTTTGTTTTTTTGGGGGGTGGATGTGTCTTCTGGTGCTTGTTACTTGGTTCCTTCGACACCTCATGATCATATATAGGCTGGCATGTGTCTTCCATGTGGGCTTGCTTACCTGCTAGATGGTTGCTTGTTGAACTTCAAGCCTTTAAGACTCCAGATGCTATATCTTTTGATAGCTGGGTACCACCAGCTAATGCATTATCTCTTTAGGAATTAATTTTACATAAAAGTGAATTGTCTACAGTTTAGGATTAATATACTGCCAAATTCCTATGCATTTACTGACTTTTACATTGGAAATTATAGTTTATTTTAGCAGAGTCAGAATCAACTCAATGGCTGTGGGCACCCTTAGTAATAATTGGATAGGTTTAAATAGAAAATGTATTTTAAAAGCCAATATGAATATATGACATAGTATTTTAAAAGATTAATAAAGATATAAAGTTTGGGATACAAATAGCTAAGTGCACTGATTAATTTAAATATAATTTATAGTTCATTTCCGTCATGACCCTGGGTTTTTTAAAACCTTACTAAAGTCGTACTTGCTAGCTTTAATACTCTCAAAATTTCTATGTATTTACAGTATATACAAAAGTATAAGCTGGCCCGAATATCCGCTAAAGCACCTAATTTTACCACAAAAACGGCATTAAAAATGTGCTGAAAAACTCATCTTATAATTGAATATATACGGTAGGTATGTTCTGAGTAAGCTCAAGATACCATTGTATAATATTTAGATTCATTAGTGATTATGTCGAACAAATCCATAGAGTGTAATACAAGGTTGTAATCTTCAACCTGTATATGAAAGAATAGCCTTTTGATGATTAAGCTTTTTAAGACTTTATAGGGTCCATAACTTGCCCTGTGTCAGTGTTAGATTGAAATTGAATTTACTATGAGAAAAGGTGTGTAAATTACCTTAATCAGAAATTTAAAATTGTACTTGGCTAGAGAGTACCTCATAAAATATCTCAGGAACTTGTGTTTAGAGCATGAAGGAGGGAACAAGTGACCCAAGATGAACATTGGGGTAGATATACTGGCTAGGGAATCCTTTGAGGGTCGTTGTATTCTGTCCTGTGGGGTTGCTATCAGTTGATACGACAGGCTTGCTATAGAGTGTATCTTGATAAAACCAAGCCGCTGACCTAGTTTCTTAACACTTGACTTTGGGTCCAGAAAATATTTGTTAATGGCAATGTGTAGGTGTCCTGTATGTTACAGAAGGGTTAGCAGCATCTTTAGCCTCTATGCAGTACATGTCCTAGCACTTCTTCAGACATCATCATGTCTCCTGGGAAGCTCTACAGGCTCATTAGATACCACTGAATCAACTCCACCCGAGTGTCCCTACATACCACGTAACAAAGCACTGTCTGGTCCTGAGCCATCCTCTCAATTGTCACAGCCGCTGTGTCTACCTCTTTTTTGTTGACCCGCTACCAAGTATGTCATTATCTAGGGGCTGGTTGAGACATGTTTAAAGTACGGTGAGACTAAGCTTCATATTTGCTTCTAAGGAGCATTCTAGCTGTACGACCTCCACTATAGCGCATTTTTATTCAACAAGCTTAATTCAAAAGCGTCAGTTCTGTCTTCTCACTTCATTGTCCAGCTGTCACACGTTAAGAGATGGTCAAAAATACTGTAGTTTGGGTCAGGCATACTGTAGTCTTCAAGGTGACAGCCTTGCTCTTCAGAGGCCTTGCACGGCTGCTTTGTCCAATGCAATGTGCTCCTTGATTTGACTGCCGTTTTCCTGAGTTTTGAGTGCATCTCAGTAAAATGAAATCCATGACAGTAGTTCACAGGAAATAAGCAACAGTGTGACCTGTTAAAGGTCCCTTCTAGAATGCCATCAGTAAAATCTAAAATATACAACAAATGATCCCATTTCTTAAAAAAATAAAATTGCATAGAACAAAAAGTATAAGATGCTGGAGGGGAGACAGATGGTGATTCTAGAAAATGTCAACCAAATGCAACACAAGGATGCTGTTTGCAGTTGGATCAGAATAAACTCCAAGAAAACGCTGGACACAAATGGGGAAATGGCAGTCCTATCCTGGCATGTGATGTTTCAGAATGAATCCAAGGCTTTCTGACAGGCATACGTGAAACTATGGGCCTGGGTTTTTCACCAAAGTCATCTTATGGGGAGAAGGGATTGAATGAAATTGTGGGTTAAGTGAGATTGGCTGAGTTGATGAATTTGGGCAAGGAGGGCTCATCATACTCCTAAATATATTTGCCATTTTTCCTAATTAAGAAAAAGGTAGAGTAGGAATAGTCTAGGAGAATCAATAGACTCGAAATATATGAGAACTAAGTACTTCGACTGGTAGAAGTATTTCATTGTGTTTAAAGTAGTTGAGTTCCAGAATGTCTGTGTGAAGTGGTAAATCTCGTCCAAGTTCCAAATGAGAGTAGCTAAACTGAGTCAGCTAAACTGAGTCAGTGCTTCCCACGGCTCCGAGCAAACACCAGGGCCACTGCACTGCCCCCGAGTCGTGGCAACCCCACACAGGTCAGGAGAGAACTATGCTCTATGGGTTTTTTTTCCATTGCTGGTTTTTTAGAATTAGATCACCTGGCCTTCTTGGATGCCTTTGAGTAGACTTGAACTTTGGTTATCAGGGCCATCCTGGGAATCACACCACACCAAGTGCTTCCAAAGTTTTTGCACAATACTAAAGATCAAAGGGAAAAGAATACAATTTAGGCGAGGGACTCAATTTTATAAAAATGTGCTTTATTTTAAAACGAATCTATAAAAGTAGAAATTGCATATAAAAATACAGATTATATTTTAGCAATAACAGCGTATGGCTGGACTTGAGGTAAGAAGTACTGTGTGTTTGAGGGCCTCTGGAAGTCACATTCCACGTGGATCACGGGCCCTTTATCACTGACCTGTAAACAGTCATTTCAAGTAGTACTGAGCACCTTTCACTACTAAGAACTGATACATAATCCTTTCCTGCGTAACACTGCTCTGAAACAGTCCGTAGAGCTGAACGGATAAGGGTACTTCATCCAATTGCTAACATTTCAAGAATAAGATTTTAAGAAAAAGATAAAGTTAATGTAACAGGAATGAGTGTGGGTGTTTCTTGTTCCATTTTCAAAATAATGGGGATGTCATCAATGTAAGCAGGAAACTAACATGTTGATTTTTTAAGCATCATTTAATCTTTTTGCTATGTGTCAGTTTTGGGTTAACATTTTTTTTTTTTTAAATAAGCACCATGGCTGTCAAAAAGATCAGCACCCGAGTCCTAGCTCTTCTATTGGGGCAGGTAGTGCTCATTGCTCTGAAACTACACGAACCAATCCTCGAGTGTGCGTTTCTGGCAAGAAGGGACCTAGAGTTCCTCTGTGGACACTTTAGGCCAAGTAACGTTATAAAATGTGTTTCAAACCACTGTTGTGAGAATTTCTAAAATGTTAAAATACTTGATTCCAGAGTAATATAAAAGTAACCTCAAGAACTTCAGCCATAAAGAAAACAGGAGGCATTTTCCCACTAGCCTTATAGCTGACATTTCAAGAATAAAGACTGATTGGTTAATAGCACCGTTCTAAAACAAAGCAAGCCTCATAAAAGCTAAAGAACCCATATTAACATAATTTGATCATAAAGTTAGCACAACAAAATATTTCCTTAATTTATAACTGGGGAAATTACCTTTTGGACTTTAGATAAATGAAATAATGTCACTAAAAATATTAACTCTTGAGCTTTCAAACTCTACACTGATTCTGTACCTATTTTGTTTTGCTTTCCATGTGTTCACATGATCCTAATTCCAAATCCAAAGTCAAGGCTGAAATGTAGTATTTCCTTTTTCTTTCCCCAGAAGAGATTGTGTCGAATGCGACTACACAGTGATTCCCATGCTGCTCCGCTCATAATACAAGTAGCTTATTGTTCAATCGATGTCTTATACAGAATTAAAAACAATACTGGAAAATTAAATAGAAAAAAAAAGTTAAGCTACTCTAAGCTATGAAAACTAATTGTTAGCATTGATTTTCAGCTTGATTCTAGATAGATTGAATAAGAAGGGCACTTGGGAGAGGTGGCTCAAGTGTTGCTCCTGAAGGGGCCTTGAAAATGACAGGCTCAGTCTTCTAAAATATTTTAAGACCCACAATTTAAAAATTTAAAGCAACAGCCTGGTCAATGTTTACCATCACCTTCAAAACAGCACAACTTCACGGCTTTCTCTCAAATTGTTCTCTCGCGCCAAGATGCCTGCAGAGCTAAGGTACAAGAAACACTGAGAATGAAAGGAGTTGAGGGCTCCTGCATTTGGACTTCCTATCTGCTTTCCCAGTTCCAGAGAACAGGGAGGCATCTTGCAGTGAGCACTTCAGAGACAACTGGGCCTGTGCAGTGACAGTCGGCATTTGATGCCCCAAATTTCTTGGTTCTTTGTCTCGCAAATAGTTGGCCTGGCAATGGTGGTGAAATGGGAACAATTAATCTGGAGATGAGGCAGCGCTTCCTTCAACACTTGAAGGGTACCATCTGGCACGATTCCAAAAACCTGTAGTGTTTTTAATGTGGGGATTTCTCCAAGTTCACTGGAAAAGAAGAGAGAGACTTTCAGAATAACGGCATCTATGGAAACCCTTGTACTAGTGTTACATGGCCCCCTCATTTTAAAAATGTTAATTTTTAAACAATTTGTATCATATTCTGGAAACTGCTGTAGCCTGGAAACCTGGTTTGCAATAAAGGATCGAAGACAACAGCACAGGTGAATCCAACTGGATGCAGAGCCAGCGCTGGAGGAGGGTGGGCTTAGACAACATGGTGGTGCATTTGGTTGAGTGGAACTCATAACTACCATCAACTCCAGGGTGTGTCTACTACCCACTGCTGCGTGCGCCCGTTCTCCAGGCTTGATTTTTACTGTGATCCGAAAAGATGCACTGTGCTGTAATAAGGAGCTGGCCAGCTCACTGCCATCCAGCCAATTCTGACTCAGAGAGACCCTATGAGACAGAGAACAGCCCGGTGGGTTTCTGATGCTTTATGGGGGTGGAAAGGCTCATTTCTCTTTCAAGTTAGCAAACTAGTGAGGGTAAAAGTAAGTGTTTCACCAAGAGGTCAGTTGGATTCATCAGCATATGGAATTCGCTTTAATTGAAACTAGGCTTAGTCTCTCAAAAGATGTAAACAATAGTAACGATGACTTAAATAAACGGAACTCACTGCCATCACATCGACGCGATGCTGACTCACGAGCCTATAGTTCAGGGCAGACCAGCCCGTGAGTTTCTGAGACGGTAACTCTTTATGGAAGCAGAAAGCCCTGTCAGTCTCCTAAGGAGTGGCTGGTGGTTTTGAACTACTGACCTTGCAGTTAGCAGCCTAAAGTGTAACCACTATGCCACCAGGACTCCTCATACCAGATGATATTACATGTCATCAAAGCGAATGACTCAGCCTAAGAGGCCTTACGGTTAAGCAGTTGGGCACAGATGGTGAAAGGGGTAGGGAATACTCTTATTGGAAGAAAGAGCCTTTCTCTCTCTCAACAGCATTCCATGTTTCCGATCCTAGAGGAGCCCATTCCCTCCTTCACCTTCCTTAGATGAAACCTAACTTTGTCAACAGTGATGTCCTAGTTCACGAGAGGGAGCCTGTTTCCCCTAAGGCAAAAACATGTTTGGTAACGAGGCAGTGTTCTTAACCCGATCGATGTGTCCAGAAAGCCACCTCTCAGATCTCTATTTGCTCCAGGCTGGGACAGAACAGTACAAAGTCTCAGGAGAGGAAACATTTATTTTGGAATTTCAACAAATTCCCTCTGCAGATCAATGACCTTGAGTGAGAAGCATCCTTTATACTTCTACATGGTCAGTAATTTCTTTAACACTTAAAAAAAGAAATCCTCTCTTAAAATGCTCACCTTCCTGCCGGTCTTCCTTCTAGCCTATTTCCTCCCCCAGTGGCTCAGGTCTTCCCCCGACTAGCTCGGACTCCATCACGCTGTCCCTGCTCCAAGCCCTTTGATGTCTATCCCTTGTGTATGAAACCGTCCCACGTGCTCAGCTGCCCACTCCCTGTGCCCTCGGCACCTGAAATGAAGCTGTTCTGCTGTCAACAGAGCGCTCTTCGGAATCACGGATGCTTATCCTACGTTAGCAGTCGATGCCAACTCCTGGCAACCCTACAGGAGAGAATCGACTAGAGCGGCTCCTGGGGGATTCCAAGACTGTAACTGTATGGAAGTAGAAAGTCCAGCTTTTCTCCCTCGGAGCAACTGGTGGTTTCGAACTGCTGACCTTGTGGCTAGCAGCCCAATGTGTAACCACTAAGCACTCTCCAAATAAACAATCGTGAGGACGGTGCAGGACAGAACAGCCTCTTTCATCCTGTTTTATATGGTTGCTGCACATTAGAACCAACCTGGCAGCACCCAACAGCAACATGCAAATAGAAGGAGTAAGCTTGTTGCTAATCAGGAATAAGAACCAAAAGTCACACCAGGCCAAAAGAAATTCAAGAATAAATTCCTGCTGTTCTAAAGGTATACTACACTCTGAACATAAACGCATACAAAAGAAAAGTCCCAGTACGAGAATGTGTAAATGGACCGTCACTTAAGCGGGCAGCAATCCCACCCTCCACCCCAGTGCCCCTCATGACATGCGAGCATATGCGAATGGAGTCGCAGCTTGAGAACTCGTGCTGGAACATCCTTGTTCGGTGAAGTGGAAAAGGAACTGCGTGGAAGGAAAATGTAGGGCAGGTGGCAGAGGAGGAAATAGTCTGGCAACAAGGCCTGGGGGCCGACACATGATGGGGAAGGAAGTTTCCTGTCTGAGAACACATTCGGGTGTTGCAGGTGAGAAGGGATCAGGGGCAAAATGACCACACACAAACACCAACAAAAACAAACCCACAAGCCTTTTCCCTCGGGTATCACCCACAACGCAAATTTGCAAACATCTCCGTGAAGCTACAATAGGGCTTAGCAAACCAGGGGTGGCGAATGGAAATGAATAGTTTAAAAGCCATTATTTCTAACAGCGTGTGAAATGACATTCACTTTGTGCCCTTAATTTGATTCCAACTCACAGTGACCTTGTAGGACAGAGGAGAACTGCCCCTATGGGGTTCGGAGACTAAATCTTTATCAGAGTAGAAAGCCTCATCTTTCTCCAACCGAGTAGCTGGTAGGTTTGAACTGCTCTGCCTGCAGACCAAAGGGTAACCCACCATGCCACCAGGGCATTGATGTTTAAGGAGCTGTGCTTCATTTTATTAAATGAAAGGTCATTATAAATGAGTCAGGTGTGTGGGGCAAGAGAGGCATGCTGTTTTTTGCCAAAAACTGGCACACTGAGCTGGCTGAGTGAGCGAGTGCATTGTTGTGGTGGCAAAATCAGTCCCCCTCTGCCACAAATCGGGTCTTTTTTGTCACACACTGTTATGCAATCTTTTTAGAACCTCTAAATAGAAAGCTCGATTAATAGTCTGACCTGGTGGAACGAATTCCAAATGTGCTTGCTATCCCTCTCATATACAAAAAAAAGAGCCATCATCTTGATCTTTGATTTCACTTGATGAGCTTTGTTGAGGGGAGGTGACCATGGCACCTTTCACTGGCTTGATTGATGTTTGCTTTCGGGGTCATAAGAGGAGCACCATGTCTCATCACCAGTAATGACTTTGGGGAAAAGTCTGGGTTATTTAGTTGCTGTTCTTTCAAAGCATGGCGTTTCCACGCAATGCATTTTCCCGATCAGTCAGAACCCCAGGTACAAATTTCGCAGTGACCATTAAAATGTGCAGAACCAAGCTCCTTAAAATAGTTCAGATAACTTCCCCATCTCTTCAATGGTCCATCATTGGTCTTTGAGCACAAGTACGTGAATTTTGTTGACATTTTTGTCAGAATGAAGTTTGTCATCAATCGACCTTTCACCTTTTTTGAAACGAGAAAACCACTTATACACTGGAGTTTTTTTCCCATAGCATTGTCCTCATAAGCTGTGTTCAGCATCACAAGTTTCTGCAGCATTTTTCCCAAAGAGGAAACAGAATTTCACAGCTGCATGCTGTTCTCTTACATTGGCTATCACAAAAAATGAGTTTAGAATGAAACTGTTTTTATGAAAAATTCACTGTGACCAGAGAACTTTCCCAGGCGATGACACTGGGTGCACTAACTCAGAGCAAGTTGCTCAATGCTCGCCTAGTGGGAAAAATGTGTACCACGAGGCTCTGCCCAGCATAGCATTTTTCAGTTGGTGTTTCGCGGGAGGGGTAGGTACCCCCTCGTGTATAAATTCAGACCCCAATACTTGAGGGCACTAGAAGTAATGGCAAGAGCCCTGGTGGTAAAATGGCTACAGGTTGGGCTGCAATCCACGGGTTCAGCAGTTCGAAAACACTAGTCACTCACTCCACACAAGAGAAAGACAGGGCTTCCTACTAGATAGAGTTAGTCTCAAAAACCCCAGGGGGCTTCTTATGTGCTAAACAAGTAGTTGAAGGTTAATTAGCAGTTTAACTAAACATAGTAAAGCTGCCAGTCTCCTTCATACAAAAACAATAAAAAAAACCCGGGGGCAGTTCTACCTGTCTTACAGGGTTGCTATGAGTTGGCAACAACACTAAGACAGCGAGTGAGTGAGTGAGTGAGTGAGTGAGTGAGTGAGTGAAGTGCTGATAGCACTTTTCCAAAATAAGCTGCAAAACTCTAAGGCCTTTAGCCAAAATTTTGGAGTCTGGTGGCACAGTTGGCTGCTGACCACAAACCCACGACCCCTGTGCAGAACAAATATGGGGATGTCTGCGTCTATAAAGGTAGTAGCGTGGATGGAACCCTGGGGGGCAGTTCTCTTTCCTACAGGACTGCTGTGAGTTGTAATCGACTTGGTGACAATGTTTTTCAAAAGGCAAGATTAATTTAATGAATTAAAAGCCACAGTTCATGGATTCCTTTATTCTACCAACTAACCTTTCGTAGCTGACTCTTCTGATTTGGTCATTCATTGCGAAAGCCAATTTACCAATAAAAACATCAACTTAAAACTCAAATTCACTGCCATCGAGCTGAATGTGATTCCCAGTAATCTTCTAGAACAGAGAACTGCTTCTATGGGTTTCCAAGATGGAAACTCTTATACTAGAGTAGAAAATCCCATTCATCTTTCTCCTGCAGAGTGGCTGGCAGTTTGAATTACTGACCTTGGGTTAGCGCTAACCCACTACACAACCTCTCACTGCCACAGTCAATGCTGATTCGTAGTAAGACCCTGTGGGTTTCCGACACTGTAACTATTTACAGGAGTAGAAAGCCCAGTCTTTCTATCAAGGCACTTCTGCTGTTTTAAACTGCAGACCATGCGGATCGCAGCCCAATGCGCTCCCCAGGGTTCCTGATAAACAAACACATAAAGTGTATAAATTCTTCCTTAAAATCTACCATCTTTCCTAAGTAAGCACGAGGGGCTCATTGACCTTTGTTTAGCTAGTGAGCTACTGGAATTTAGTAGCTATATTGGCAGTTGTTACGGATTGAGTTGTGTTGCCCTTAAAATATGTGCTGGAATCCTAACTCCCATCCCTATCGGAAGACCATGCTGGTATAAACAATGGTGGCATGGCTTCCAGTATCACAACAACACAGCCATCTCGGCAAGGCAATCTGACAATGGCGTTTCAGTGGTCCTTCCAGACTGAGACAGACAGGAAGAGGGCTTGGTGATCTACTTCGAAAACATAATGGCCAGTGAAAGCCTTCTAAGTAGGAGCAGAGCACTGTCTGACGTGGTGCCTGAAGAGGAGCCCCTGGATTAGGAGGTACTCAAAATAGGACCGAGCAAGAGCTGCCGCCTCAAAGAAGAGCAAACCTTAATGACGAGGATGGAGCCACGTCCTTGCTGATGCTCCAGGGCTCAAACTGAAAAGAAACTGCCAAATATGCCATGGTAATTAGAACGTACCAACTTCCAGGAAAACTGGAAGTTGTCTAAATGGAACACATGCTTTAAGATTGACATCTGAAGCAACAACAACAACAAAACCCCCAAGCAAACAAACAATAAACCTACTACAATCACAGCAGCAGTCCCACAACGGCCTCAGACTGCCACCAGGGCTCTCTATCCCAGTCATTAGTGCGCTGCAATGGCCCACCAGTGGCCACTTTGAATCCAACCACACGGTCTACTATCCTGGGAATGACAAGTTGAAGAGGAGCGGTTGTAGTCATCGTCAAAAAGAGCATTTCACGCTCCATCCTGAAGTGCAGTGCTGTCCGTGAAAGGACAGTATCTATCGGCCTGAAGGGAAGGCTGAACCCTGGTGGCGCTGTCCTCAGGGAAGCACTGGACAGCTAGCTCCACGGAAGAAAGATGAGCCTCAAGAACCCTACACAAGGTCACTACAAATAGAATTGACTCAATGGCAGTGGGCAGTTTTGGCTTGTTTGTTTTTTTTTTTAAAGGAGGACCGGTTATTCAAACTTGTACACCCACCACTGATGCTGAAGGTGAACAAACTGAACATTTGTATCAACTTCTAGTCTTAAATCGATCACATGGGGAACCAAATGCACTGCCAAAAAGTACTATTGGCAACGTGGAAATTGAAAATAGAGAAGGATTAGCAGTGGAAAACCAGGGCCTTGGAAGTAGAAACGCTGGGCTAAATTGCCTGACAGAATTTTGCAAGACCAATGATTTATTCATTGCAAATACCTGCTTCCAACAATATAAATAACTTAAATGCACATGTAGCTCCATGAGTTAAAAATTCAGGGAACAAATCACCTCTTTCTGTGGAAAAGGACAACGGAGAAGCTCAAAGCATCAGAACAAACAAAGCCAGGGCTGCCTACAGAGCTGCCGCCCATTGCTCGTGTGGTAAGTATAAACTGAGGGGAGATAAAGGAAGTGAAAGCCAGAGTAGTCTGGAGTATATCCTACCCGAATCAGTGACTATCTCAGGACCAGACTGGGCACGTGGTGGAATGACATCAAGGCCATTATGTGTTAAGAAAGCAGAAGGTCATTAAAAAGGCAGAAAAGACCCACTTGGATGTCAGAAGAGACTCTGAAACTTGCTCTAGAACACAGAGAAACTAAAGCGAATAGAAGAAACGCGACGTCCAATAGCTGAGCGTAAGATTTCAAAGGGCAGCTGGAGAAGGAAAAAAGGATCCTACAATGAAATGTGCAAAGACCTGGAGTTAGAAAACCAAGAGGGAAGAACACACTCTGCTTGCTCGGGCTGAAAGGATTGAAGACAACACGCAAGCCGTGAGTGGCAATACTGAAGGAGGGTGGGCATACCTGAGAAGCTGGGCTCTGAAGAGCAGGGCATCCGTATGCGAGGGACCTGCAGACGGCACAATCGCGCCACCGGCTGAGAGTGAACAGGACTTGAACCACTACATCTCGACACAAAGGAAGCAGAAGTCTTCCTAACTGGACCGACAGGCATCTACCAGGGTCAACGGGAAAAAGACTGACGTTGTCGAGGATGTCACATGACTTGTACCTACAACGAGCGCCTATGGACGCATCGGTCAAGCAATGAGCGACTGGGCAAATCGATTCCGACTTCGAGCAGCCCTATGGGACAGAACAGAACTGCCCTGTGGGTTTCTGAGACTGACACCCTTCACGGGAGTGGAAAGTCTCATCTTTATTACAAGGAAAAAGGTCACTCTGAAGACGTGAGTCAGGATGCCCCTGACGGAAGGCACGCCATTTTTCATTGCGTCCCATGTATACCAGAGTTGGGGCACTGACTACGGAAGCCAGCAGGAGAATTGAAGCCTCTGAATTGCGGTCCTGATGAAGAGCATTAAATTACCACGGACTGCCAGAAGAATGAACAAACTGGCCCTGGAAAGAAGAAGCCAGAATGCTCCTGAGAAGATTTGACAGGACCGAATCTCAGTTTGGGGTCATGTTATCAGAAGGGTCAGTCCCAGAAGGGCCTCACGCTCGGTAAAGCGGAGGCTCAGTGGGGAAAACAGAGGAAGGGCGTCAATGACATGAACTACCTGCCACAATGGATTACCGTGAGGATGGCGAGAACCAGGGAGTGTTTCCTTCTACTGTACTGTCCCATGGGGCAGAACGCGCTCGATGACATCCAACCAGAGACCTTAATTTAGGAGTAGGATTTTATTTCTATGTCAATGAGGTCATTATCATTGCAAGGTTAGTTCTAAACCGAATCGGTGGCAAGTCATACAAGGAGCAGATTAAACACAGGTATAGATGAGCACATACTGGGCAAGACAGAAGCCATGTGAGGGTCACCAAGGAAGCAGAGGGTGCCCAGGGGCCCTGAAAAGGACTTGATTTGGGCTTACTGCCTCCAAACCTGTGAACAAATAAACACAACCTGTGTTCTTTGAAGTCACCCCCTGTGGCATTGCTGCTGCAGCACTAAGCAAGCAAGCCAGTTGCAGCAGGAGAGAAGCGCATCAAGACACTGACTTCTGGGTTTCAACAAGATTCCTGCTTACGCTGGACATTAGACGCATACCCCAGCCTCTGAGTTACAAGGAAAGGAAGTCTTTTTAAGAATACTCACTGCCATTGAGTCAATTCTGACTCCCAGTGACCTACTATTTCCCAGGCTATAAATCTTCAAGGCAGTGGCTGGAGGGTTTGAATCTCCAACCTTGAGGCTGGAGTTCAATGTTAGCCTAACAGTGCCACCAAGGCTCCTGTTTTTAAGAGAGAGATGCTACTCTGCCCAGGATGGCAGGAGGCTGGCTAGTACTTTGTCAAAGAGAGATGGTCCAGAATACATCTTCTGTGTGCGCTCCTATGATTCTGTAAAGTTGCTTGCCATTTCTTTGGCAAGTTCTCCACGGTCACTAGTATGGTATGCTACCACCTACACCTGCTCACGGATGAAACAATAAACGCTCAGTGAACAACATTGGTCAACTTTCCTGTCTTAGTTTTACGACTTGTTGTCCCTTCCTAATCACTCTGCTGTCACCGAGAGTGATGCCTTTCATGTCCACTACTAATAATGAACTTGAACACCAAGTGGCATTTATCTTCCGGTCCCTCTGTCTCTCTTCCAAGGAGCTTAAAACCAACAATACTTACAGCAAAGTTTCCGGGATTATGTCATAGCAGCGACTGAGTGACAGGTGTTGGAGGTAGATGAGCTGGTGAAATTCCTGAAAGCAGTCATTCTTGAGCATGACGCTGTCACTGAAACAGAGCACAAAACGAGGAGGTCAAACCTGCCTAACCACGCTGCGCTGACACAAGGCAGAGTCTACCGCTTACTACTGCTACTTCAACACCAAGACGCTTTTCCCATTTCCGATCAAAAATAAATCCACAAACTCATACCTTAAGTCTAGGCGGACAAGATTGGGGCATCTTCTAATTAAAGTACAGACGTCTACGGAGAGAAAACACAGCGGTCACTGGTAAGTAAGGAGTAAGAAAAGGCGTCCAGCAGTCACTGGTGCTGCATTTAATACCATGTCACAGGCTCAGGACGAGGTCGGAAGAGTAGCCCCGCTGTTCTGGTTGCTAAGAGCTACTGAGTCAATGATAATCATGAGTTGGAGCTGCCTGGGTGGCAACTGGTTTAATGTTTTCAGGATCAAACCCTGTTATAGCATGTACAAAGACTCCGTCTGTCTTTTGTCAGAGTGGACAGCCCTTTGTCAGACTACACCAGTGTGTTCATTTACCCATCTGCTCACGGTGGCTTGGGTTGTTTCCATTTTTTGCGAATAAGGCTACAATTGGTTGGTGTACAGGTATCTTGTTTTCAATTCTTTTTGGGTATGAACCCAGGAATGAAACTGCAGTGTCAATTCATGTGTAACTTTTTGAAGAACTGCCAAGCTATTTCCCATAGAAGCTGCACCATTTTACACTCCCTTCAGCAATGAATAAAACTTTATATGCAGTTCCACTTTATAAAAACCCATTTTCAGAAATGTGTTCCAGGATTCGTCTCAGTATATCACATGATTTATTTCAAAAATCAAAAACAAAACACACTTGGAAGATTCTACATGTCCCCAGGAGACTCAATTGAGTAAATGGTGACCTATCACTGTTAGCTCCCATTGTATCAACTCCGACTCCTGGAGGCCCCAGGTGTGCTGTCTGAACTGCTTATAGAATTTTCGAGGCTATTTCAGAAGCAGATTGCCAGATCTGTCTCCCAAAGAACAGCTGGATGGGTTCAAACTGCTAACCTTTTAGCTCGGAGTCCCAGCACTAGAGTGGGTTATGTGTTGGCTGCTAACCACAGGTCAACAGTTCAAAACCAGCAGCAGCTCTCAGGAAGAACGATGAGGCTTTCGGCGCCCAGAAAGAGTTACAGTCGCTGAAACTCCCAAGGGCAGTTTTACTCAGTCCTACTGGGTCGCCATGAGTCAGAATTGCCTCGATAGCAGTGAGCTGGCGTTTTGAGGGTCTCCTCGAACATGACTGTCGGATGGGACACAGGGCCAGCGAATGGGTGCGACATGCCCTCCCTCAACTGTGTTCTGTACAACATTTTTTTTAATGAAGACTGTATGCCGAAAACGACGGACAGATGCTAGTAGGATTACTGGTGATGGTTTTCTTTATGTTTTCCCAAATTTTTGTGAATAGATAAATAAGACTGATTAAATACAGTGCTTCAGGGAAAAAACGGAGACTGTGAATATGATGACGAAAACATTTGTTTTGGAAGAAGCATAACCTGAGTGCTCCTTAGAAGTAAGGCTGGAGAGACTCTGCGTTACGTACCGTGAACACATTACCACGAGGAGAGGCCAAAATAAATAAATAAAATGGACTGCCATGCATTCATCTGTCTCAGAGCGACGCTGAAGGGCAGAGTAGAACCACCCCTGTGGGTTTGGAGACTGCAGATCTCCAAGGGCACAGAGATCGCCTCTTTCTCCCGTGGAGCGGGTGGCCGTTTTAAACTGCTAACTGGTGGTGAACAGGCCAACGGATCACCCCTTACGCCACCAGGAAAAGGACATCAAGCTTGGTAATATACTGGGGCAGCAAGAAAGAGGAAGCCCTTCGACAAGAGGGATCGACAGTGTCTGCAACAGCGAGCTCACACCCGAGAACAGCTGTGCGGACGGCCCAGGACCGGGCAGTGCTTCGTTGGGTTGTCCGTAAAGTCAACCGAGTAGACAGCACCAGAGGGCAACAACAGGGATGTTGTGCAGAGGTGAGTGGTAGTCAGAAGCTAAGCTGTGACTGCTGCGTTTCCAGCTCCTTGCGGAAACTGTCCCCCTCACCTGGAAGTGCAGGCTTCTGGACATGGCAGTGGTCTCCAGCACGGGCAAAGGACTGAAGTCCCTGGTCACTCAAGAGAACCTAGCTGGCATTTCCCACCGCCCGCTACGTCTTCCTTGGGACAGGACACAGCATGTCCTGGAGAAGCAGCGTTCAGATGCTACTTCAATTTCAAGAAGATTCCTTTTGCAAGGTTTTTTAAATTTTAAAGGATATGAATGAATGCCTCCCGTCACATGCGTGAAGACACAAGCCTCAAAACACCAAGACGTGGTTTCTGTGTGTTAAGAATTCCACTGGATTATGGGAAGATCACCGCCCGAGGCCGCAAGGTTGCAAGCACCTATCTTTGCAAAGCACGGTTTTTCTCAATCTCGCACAAATAGAACATAGCATAACAGCCTATGGAGGCGACAAAGCCCTAAACTGTCGCCCACTACCCCCAACGACAAAGGCCAGATAAGTTTTGTTTTCTACAACTGGATTTCAAATCCGTTGTAGATGCAAACTTATGAGAAAACAAAACTAAACACAACTTTCAAACAGGACTCCTCAAGTTCGAGATCATTGCCATTCTGGCTGGCTAATTCTTTGTTGTGCAGCACAGGAATCTGATTTACACTAGATGCACTGGTACCTCACAGCCGAGACAGTCTAATATGTCTGTTCCGCTCAAATCTGGACTCCACTCCACGCAGTCTTGGGTTACCAACCTCCGACTCACAGTCTGACAACTGCTACTTGTCCTTGAATATGCTATAAACTTACCCTCACTGGGAAACAACCGAAGCAACCCCTGTGCCCAATACCTGCTTCCCCCGCAGCCACCATCAGTGGCTGAAAATGCCATTGTAAAATCGTGGGAAAAAGGCTTAGAACTTTTTCACTAAAGCCTGGGTTCCCATTAAACTTGGCTGATCTTTGGCCTCACCTGGGGATCTGGCGCAACTAGAAATCCCTGGGCCCCCTCCCTCTAAAATGATGACTCACTAGCTTGCAAACGGAGCCCAGAGAGCTGCAGGTGAACCAGATCCCCAGGTGATGCCAATGATCAGCTGAGTTTGGGGACCTAGCCCTAACAGGCTACATGAAAATCGTATCCACCTGTTCCAAGTTACCTACAAATTAAGACTTCCAGACATCCTTAGCCACAGAGCTGGTTTGTAACCTGTAGCTATCTGCCTCTAATCCTAATCAGCTGCTACCTCTGACAAAGAGGGGTAGTTATAATGTGCGCTGAGCTACTGCAGACACAGGAGAGACGCTTCATGGAGCTGACTGATTATTGCTGCTGCTGCTGCAGCCGCTATAGAGGCTACAGGGGCCCCGCCCCGTGGCTCTTACCTGACTTCTGCAGGTTCTTCCGGTAGCCGCTAAGATTCAGCTGGGTGATGGTCTCCGAAATGTGTGCCACTGCCACCTGCACGTGCTTCTCAGTGAAGTCCGAACACCAGGAGAGGTTCAGCTCATCCAGTCTGCACAGGAATGGGCACAGGAATGGGTGAAGTCACTGCCTGCCAGCCAACTCACTACTAAATATGTCAGTGTTGCTGGGTGCCATCAGGGATTTCCGCTCAGCGGCCCTGGGGACAGGGGAGGACACCCCCGTTGCACTCCCTACAAGGGAGCAGGTGGCCAGTTCTTGTCTCCCACAGAGCAGCTGGGGGATTTGAACCACTGACCTTTTGGTTAGCAGCTGAGTGCTTATCCACTGCACCACCAGCGGTGCTCACTTCTTTGCTCAGAAAACCCCAATCCACACTCACAGCCATGAAGGGGATTCTGACTCAGAGTGACCCTGCAGCACAAAGCACAACTGCCACTGCGGGGTTCCCACGACTGTAAATCCTTACGGGAATAGAAAGCCTCAGCTTTCTCCTGTGGAGCAGCTGGTGGTTCAGAACGGCAGACCTTGCGGTTAGCAGCCCCATGTGTAACCTACTATACTTCCACGACTCTTGTGCTCTGCTTCAAGAAGGCCCTAAAGCCAAGAAAGAGTCTCTTGATTTCTCTTGCTGGCCAAGGGGCTCGGGGAGAAGACAAAGCTGCCTGATGCACAGATCTCCTGCCTGCAGAAGCAGCTCGTGTTCACCCAGAAACTGCCATCCCTCCTCCAGAGGCACTCCCTCCCTCGCCTCCCTCTGATCTGAGCAAGGCCCGGGTGAATGCTGCTCCCTTCTGGATGAGGAGGGAAGCACTCCTACTCGCTTTCTTCTGCCCTGAAAACAGAAGTCTTCGTCCCGGACTGGATGCCAGCCAGCCTCTGTATCTTCTTTCTCCAGTCACCCAGGCCCAGCCAGCCAGCACCCAAGCACAAGGACATGGCCATCACGCAAGCTCTTTCAAATAAACGGACCGATCACAGTGGGGATTCCTAATTTAAGGTGACCAGACGTCCCGCTTTTGGCGGGACAGTCCTGATTTTTGGCGTTTTTAAAAAGTCCCAGGTTTTGGAAAGAATGCACGACAAGCTAGGGAACGGTCTATTTGATCCATATAGACCAAATTTTTAATCAAGAACCGCCCCCCTCCCCCGGTCAATGGTGTCCCGCTTTAAATCTGGTCGCCTTATCCTAATTGATATTGCAAAATGCAACGGGCATTGCCGCTGATACCAATGCTGACATTAATATCGATACTGGTACTGTTGCTGGAACAAGCTACCTCATCTTATTCTGCCTCGGCCAAGGCAAGGAGGGCTACAGGGCAGGCGTCTAAAGACAAAGCCTCCCCACTCCTCACTAGCATCACTGACTGAAGAGAGGGCTAACCGGTGTATCTAGTTGGCAGTATTTTCTTATCCAAATAGGATAAGGCTAGACCACAGAGCCCAGGGGACATTTTAAAATTAAACCCATACAGAAGTAGTAATACTGTGTGTTCTGGGAACCACAGCTCCCCGCACTTAGGAATATCTGCAACTTTGCTCAAAATAAGGAACACGTTTTGAATAGTCACCCAAGTATATGCTTACATTTGCAATATGCCAGACTTAATTAACAACTGTGAAATAGGTCTACAGACACTACAGAGGTTTGGGGGGTCGGGGAGCATTACACAGGCAGATGGACTTTGTGGTCAACTTTAAACAGATCCTTTCAACCACACTGGGGATAAACATTTCACTCTGTTTTCCTTAGAAGCCCTGGTGGCGCTGTCGGGCAAGCATTAGACTGCTGAGGTCAGTGGTTCAAGCCTACCAGCCTCTCCTTGGGAGAACAATGAGGCTGTCTGCTCTCAAACTGATTTACAGCCTTGTAAACCCTCTGCAGGGTACCTATGAGCCGGAATCGAGTCCACAGCAGTGGGTCTGTTATGTTTTCCATAGTAAGGATAGAAAAGGGACAGTTTGGGAGCGTCCTTGGCCCTCTACATGGATTTGACCCCAGAGTTTAGACAGCAAGTACTGCATTATCCAAATCGAACTGGTTCCCGGGTGTTGGGTAGAATGGCCAGCACTTGTATGGTTAGGAATGGCTCAAAATAACATCTCCAATTCTACTCACAAGTGGGAGTCCCTGAGCGGTGCAAATGGATGAGGGCCTAAGTAAAGGCTTCAAAACCTCCCAGAACCACTTAGTGAGATAGGCCTGGCAATCTTCTTCCAGGTCATAGCTTTAGAAAGCTCACGGAGCTGGGCTACTCTACACACAGGGTCACCAGGAGCCAGAATTGTGGGGTGGCAAAGAATAGTATTCAGACATAAGCCATGATCATTGATTTGATACTAGTTATCTCCTACCTGGAACAGCTGCTTAGCAGAGCCTCCAGGGCCGATTCGGAGAACCCAGAACACCCACAAAGGTTCAGCCGCACTAAATTGGAGTTCTGCGCAAGATTACTGAGAAAAGAGAACAATGCCAAAGGCATACCAGTCAGACCCTCTTATTTCATCAGCAAACATCCTGAGGAAGTATTAGTGAAGCAGTTAAGGGTGCAGGCCTTCCAGTCAGAAGTGGAATTTAAACACCCCAACCCCACCTTCACCCCCACCCCCACCCCATCAGCTTATCTGTAATGATAACGTGGCTGAGAGCCTGGCTTCCACTTCCTCATCCATGAACTGGCAACACCCTTCTATTACAAAACCAAATTCACTGCCACGGAGTTGATGCCGACTGGAAAGTCACCCTGCAGAGCAGAGTGCAACTGCCCCGGTGGGTTTCTGAGATGATAACTCTTTATGGGAGTGGAAAGGCTCCTTTCACCCTTGGAGGGGAGGTCGTTTCAAACTGCCGACCTTTGGATTAGCAGCCCAACATTTCCCCACTATGCCACCACGGCTCCCCATTTCCATGACAGCCTACCAGAATGAGCCCGGACTTCTTACTGGGTAATGGAAGCCCAATAGGATGTGGTCTGTGTCCTCACCTCACATTTGCTGCTCACCATACTGAAATCCTATGTGCCAGCAATTCCCAGCTCCCTGAGAGTTTAAAGCCAAACTGTGGTTCTTTGGGGCCCCTCACACACGGAGGTGTCCTACCTAAGCGGATTCAATATTCCCCTTCTACGAGTTACTTCCTCTGAAATGATGCCAGCTCTTCACTGTCTTAGGTCTCCTTATGCGGGGGTGGTGGTGTTAGGTGCCCTGGAGTCGGCTCTGACCCATCATGACCCTGTGCACACAGAACGCAACACTGCAAAGTCCTGTGCCTTCTTCACAAATGTTCCCAGGCCCGAGCTCACTGATTCAGCCGCTGTGTCAATCCATCTTGTCAAGGGCCTTCCCCTCTTTTGCTGCGCACCTCCCCCCCCCCCCCCCCCCCCCCCCCATCCTTTTACCAAGCATCCTGTCCTTCTCCAGGGACTGGTCTCTCCTGATCTGTTCAAAGTATGTCAAATGAAGGCCTGCCCTCTTTGCCTCTAAGGAGCACTCTGCCTGCTTCCATCACAGATCAGCCGGTCCTTTCAATATTCTTCTCAAGCATCACAATTCAAATGCATCTGTTCTTCTTCGCTCTGCCTTATTCAATATTCATCTTTCACATGCATATAAGGTAGTGGAGAAGACCATGGCTTAGGTCATGAGCACCTTAGTCCTCAGAGTAACACCCTGCTCTTCAATACTCCAAAGAGGTCTTGTGCCGCAGCTTTACCTAATGCAATGTCTTTTCATCTCTTGACTGCTGCCGCCATGAACATTGACTGTGGATCCAGGTAAGCCAAAATCCTTGAGAACTTCAACATTTGCTCCGTTTATCATGAGGCTGTCTATTGACCCAGTCGGGAGGATTTGGGTCTTCTTTACATGGAGTTGTAATCCACACTGAAGGCTATAATCCTCGATCTTCATCAGCAGGTGCTTCCATGCCTTCCACTCTCGGCAAGCAAGGCTCTGTCATCTGCATATCCCAGGTTGTTCATAAGTCACAGGTGAGGAGGCTTTAAAGCATGTGGAAAAGTCTCTCATGGGTTTTTTTCTTTTTACCATGGGTCTTCTCTTTTCTCTTGCTAGAATTTAGTCCTTGTCAACACTTTAGGGACTACTTTTTAGAAATAAACTCTTCTGACTTTAGGTAACAAATACTTATGATTTTCATAACCTTTCCACTAAGAACAAAGATACTATCATTTCGCACACACCGCACTGTAAAAAGATTCTGTGCGCTTCCTCATAGGCCACTGAATCTCAATCCCCTTACCCTTTAATCCCATCTTTCCCAAGCACTCTTTCACACCCCTCGTCTCACAGCAGTGTCCCAGGTTTCCAGGGGCGCATCGCTCAGACGTGGGCAGCCTTTTACTGGTTCGTGGTCTGTGTCCACTGGGACACTTCTCAACCGGTCATCTCTCTCACAGATGAGGCAGGGAGCATGTCCTTTCGATTCTGGATGTCTAGGACCGAGCAAGAGGAAGCCTGGTGGCATCGGGGTTACTGTCAGGCTGTTGACTGCAAGTCCAGCACTTTGAATCCACCAGCAGGCCCTCAGGACAAAGACGAGGCTTTCTCCTTCTGTAAAGAGTTCCCCACAGAGGCAGCTCCACCGGCTCCTACAGGGTGGGGTCGATATGAGCCAGCATTGACTCCATGGCAGGGAGTCTGGCTTGGTGTTTAGAGGACTTAGCCAGGGGTTTGGCTAGGAGCTTTTAAAATGGTGTTGCCTAGAGGAGTCCTGGAGTCCTGCAGAGATGGGAGCACCGGTTATTTCCTGCGGCCAGCTGGGTAATGGAAAGGCCCCCTGGTTAGTCCGGAAGCACAAGTGACCCCCACAAAGCCATCTTTCCGGTGACAAGCACTTACTGGACAATGGGATCTGACAGCTGTAGGCCTTCCAGACTTAGATTCTGCAGCTTGGTGCACTGAGCCAGAATGCCACGGAGGGTAGCCACGTCGATCACAGCGTTCGACAGGTCCATGTGCTGGACGCGGAAAGTGCTGGACATGGACCAGACAAAGAGACGGCATGAGGCAGCACACACCAACACATGGGGAAACCCCCCCTCCCTCCCTCCTCTTCCCGGCTGAGCAGCCGCTGATACACAGACCGGGATTATAGACTGGAACTAGCTGCCGTTTGGGCTGAAAAATCCCCACTAGTAAATCCCCATGGGCATTCCTGTCACAACTCAAAGATGAGTGTAGCCGCGTGGTGGACACAAGGGGCTCACTTCGAAAATGGGTTCATAGGTGTTGTGAGAATGGGCCGGGTGATGGGTGAAGAGAGAAATAAGCCTCTGCGGGCGCTGGGCTTCTTGGCGAGGGAGAAGACGCCCATGGCGGCAGCATTTAACACAAGGCAAACAGTGGCAGAGCACGTTTCAAAGGGAAGCCCTGTGTACTTTCAGAGCTGCACATATGGAGTCCCTGGGTGGGACAGGCGGTTACTGCCTGGGCTGCCAGGGGAAAGGCTGGATGGTGGAGCCCACCCAGAGGCCTGGCCATCTGCTTATGGAGCAAACCGCTTTGGACAATGCTAAGGAGCTTGTGTCTACTCTGACACGCACAGGGTCGCCTGGAGGGGGAACAGAATGGAAGGCAACTGGCTTGACCGCTTTTCCTGCTTGTCTAGTAAGGAGTCTTCAGGCGGTTTGACTAACTGAACAAGTGTTAGACTTGTTTGCAAGAGCAGATTAAACCAGATGGGGATTTGATCTCTCTGGGCACGCACGGAGCCGTGGCGGCGCGGTGGTTAGACACTTGGCTGGGGGTGCTTGGTGTCTTCCAGCTGCTGCTTCTAGTCCTCCTGGGAGGCCGTGGGACAGCCCCACTCTGTCCCATCAGGGCTCCATGAGTGGGAGTCGGCTTGGAAGCAAGGGGCTAGGTTTGACTTGTTGTTTTGGGCAGGGGAGGTTTTTGTAGGGGGGAGGGCGGAGAGAGGGGTGTCACCACACAATGGGCTGGGGGCCAGCACACTGGAGTGAGCAAAGGAAAGCGCCCGCGTGGAGGAGACAGAGAAGGTGCAGCCGCAGGAGGGGGAGAAAAGCCGGTGGTAGCGACAGGCCGCCATACAGCTAAGAAAGAGGTGGTGCACCAGGGTCAGAATAGAGAGGCTTGGTTCTAAGCCAGCGGTTTTCAACCTGGGGGCCAAACGACCCTTTCACAGGGGTCGCCCAATTCATAACAGTAACAAAACTACAGTTATGAAGTAGCAATGGAAATAATTTGATGGTTGGGGGGGGTCAACACCACGAGGCACTACATGAAAGGGTTGCAGCATTAGGAAGGTGGAGAACCACGCTCTAAGCAGTGTTCTTCTGTGCTTGCTTTTCTGTCGAGTGTCTAGCTCTCATTCTGAAGTCATTAATTAAGAGGTGGCTTCAAAAAGTTGATGGGAAACCTGAGTTGAACGCGAATGAGATCTTCCCACCAACTCTCTGAAGCCCTGTCCCTACTGGCTATTTAGTATCTGTCCCAAATATGGTACAAATAAACAAACAAATAGGACAATGCCGCCCCCGCCCATCCCGCTACAAATCAGAATCCTAAAGCCGCAAAAATGGGCATAAGCACCATACACGCGTATTCATCAGAAAAGGGCGGTGGGGAAATAGAGGTAGCCTGAAGCCCGTCAGTGAATTCATTCCTTGTCCCCACCTACTTCTAAGGCTCCTGCCTGGTTGTCCAACATGCGTACCTTTGACCCCAAGAAAGTAACCTTGAGGGGAAGTGGAAACAGCGTCACTGAAACCTGTACCCTCTCTCAACATCAAGGCCATCGGGCAAGGTATTCACCAGACACCGCAGCGTTCGGATGATCTGCTACAGGGTGTAGGCGGGAACGGGAAGAGTCTTGATCTGTCTTTCTATCTCAAGATTGACAGATTTTTCCTGGAGATTTTATTCGTACCTGAAATGTTCTACTAATGGTTGGTCCACAAATGACCGTGGGCAGCGGAAGGCGTTCACCCCTCGAGACAGCAACCGGACAATCACATCTGGGTGCAGACTTTTACCTGAGAGGTCTAGGGTCTGCCACAGGGACTCATCAATCCTAGAAAAGAGGAGATGCTCGAGCTGGTAAGTTGTCCACGTGGCATCCTGGAGGCCCTGAACAATGGCACTAGAAAGGAGGGCAGAGCTGCTACATCCCCTTGAAGCGAATCCAAAGGACCTTCGTTTTTAAGTTGACTTAACTGTAATATTTTTACGGAACCATTGAATATTTCTCAATTGGGACACGGATAGGTTTCCATCTTTCTCTTTATATAGTTTTCAGGTTGAGATGAGTCAGTGTGACCATTGGCAATGTAATAGTCTGAAACCAGAGAAGAAACCTCCTAGGTGCAATTCCATGGGACAAATTAAGATACTTGACAAACTGCCTAAATGGTCATCACCCTTGCCACTTGTTAAGAATGGCCAGGTCAAAAGGTTTAAGGTAAAAAAATTCAGCAATCAGAATTTCTGCTAAGAGTCGGAGACGAGTCCTCTCGTTGCAGATTTGGTTTTTGAAACTGAGACGAAATGGCGCATGCCTGTATTAATTTCTGCATTGATTTGGCGTTCTTTCTGCTTATCGCTGGCTTGGTTAGAGGCCCTGCCCCTGGGCAGTACCCAAGAGAAGCTGGTGCTTGCCCCTGCTGGGAATTTGGTCTGAGAGAAGTCTAGGGTCCCAATCAGGCTGCTATGCAAGCACTGACTAAGCCACATGTCATAATCTTTGCCATGCTGTCAGTTGTGATGAATCTGTTCTATTTTTAAGGTTCGCCAATATTACAATGTACAAATACTCCTGGAGACCCCCAAGTGACAGAGTGAAATGATTCGCTCCTTTGTGTTTCACTCCCTACTTTCTTTTTCTGCTTTTATATTAAATGAGTTTCTCCTTAGAGAAAATGTCATTTTCCAATTCCTTAAAATTAAAGCAAAGTTCCTGTGTGAGTGATGTAGGGGGTATAGAGTATAAACTATGATCTGGGTGTACATTCCACCCAAATTTTGGTGTTCTCAATTCTGTTTCATTGGATTCTTGATGCTTTTCATTTGCTGTATGAGTCAAACTGACACAATCAGATCAAAGCTGTTCATGGTTTTATTCATTTCTGATTGGATTATGGTGAATAATCAGATTGCAATTGGTAAATCTAAGTTGTAAAATTGATTTGGTCTTTCTTTGTAGCTAATTGTGTGATGTATTTTATAAATTTGTTATATATGTGTGTGCACTCTAAAGAGTAAATCACTACCTGAAGTGTTAAAAACAGTAGCCAAGTCACTATAGAGCAGTTCTCAACCTATGGGTAGCAACCCCTTTGGGGGTTGGATGACCCTTTCACAGGGGTTACCCGATTCATAACAGTAGCAAAATTACAGTTATGAAGTAGCAACAAAAATAATCTTATGGTTGGGGTTACCACAACATGAGCAACTGTATTAAAGAGTCGCGCCATTAGGAAGGTTGAGAATCACTGCTATAAATAAACCAAAACCAGACTCCCTGCCATTGAGCCAATTCCGACGCACAGCAGCCCTATAGGACAGGGTAGAACTGCCCCTCTAAGTTTTCAAGACTGCAACTCCTTCCAGGAGCAGAAAGCCCCATTTTTCTCCCTTGGAACTTCCTAGTGGTTTTGAACTGCTGACCTTGAGGTTAGCAGCCCAGTTTGTAACCACTACGCCACCAGGGCTCCTTTGGGTTAATACAAGAGGGTTCCCCAAAGCTCGTGTGCAAGTGGCATGAAAAGCTAAAGGAACCACTGGCCTTCAGTCAACACTGCTGGAGCGCAGTGGGCTCCAGGACGCCTCCAACGCGGGAGGAAGTTCACATCAGAGGACACTCAATATCCACAGCTGAATTCAATGAGAAAAACTAAAACATGAACACAGACGACAAGGGAACAGTTTACATGCCTACCTACGTGTTCTAGAATTTACTTCGCGTCAATATTGCTTGAAATAAACGAACCATGGCCTAGGGCTTCACAATGATTTTACCATTAAGAAATTGTCGGTGTGTGATTTGACCTGTTATTACAAAGGCAGGACTGTTGATAAGAAATTAGCATTCTTTTGTATCTTGTTCTGGAGCCCAATTTGGCTTCAACAAACAGCACCTCTGGCTGCCTGAATTCTCACAACTTAAATTTCCCCTGGAACTCTGGTGGCCGCAGGGAATGCACTGGGTTGCTCAGAACCACCAGCCAGTACACACTAAGGTGAGGCTCTCTATTCTTATAAAGAGTCAAGGGTTTCACAAACTGTCAGGGGCAGTTCTAGTCTGTCCTATAAGGTTGTTAAGGATCAACACAATGGCAGTGACTTAAGTTTCCTCTCGGCAAAGAGGGAAACAATAGTTGACCTTGTCTTCCATTGCAATCAGGGGAAAACGGCATAATTCTTTCTAGCACACACAGGAGGATAGATTTAAGAGTTACAGGAACCCTAAAGTGAACATAATTAGATATGTTTGCTTTAAGGCTGTGGAGTCACCCTGACGGGCTATAGTTTCCAATTCTCTAAAACAGATCATATGAATGGTACTGTGACTGAAGTAAGGAGACCTGGTAGCCCAGTGGGTTTTACGTTGAATTTCTAATGGAAAGGTCAGTGGTTCAAACCCACCAGGTGCTTCCCGGGAGAAAGATACGATCCTGCTTCTTTAAAGATTTTCAGCCTAGGAAACCCTAAGGAGCAGTTCTGCTCTGTCCTATAGGGTTATTATAAGCTGACAACAGTAATTTTTTTGTTCATGGAAATAAAGGTGTACCCTCCATATATACACACCAATTCATGTCCAAATGGAACCTCTAAACCAGCGGTTTTCAACCCTTGGGTCATGACCCCTTTCACAGGAGTTGCCTAAGACCCTCGGGAAACACATCTTTCCAAGGGTCTTAGGAACCGAGTGACCCCCCTGCTCTATCTGTCTCCAGGCGG